GTGCACAAACGCATTGATATTTAATTGAATTTGCGCATTAACGCAGCTGTCAGGTTTATTTATTGCATTTAAATAAGTGCGATTCGCACTAATGGCAACAGCCGTTGGTTAATTGTTATAATAGGACATTCAACATATGGAGAACGATATATGGCAATGCATAGTACAAATAAGTTTGAAATGCAGATTATTTTCGTTTTTGTAATTACTTTCTTATGATGCTACTAGTAAAATACAATATTCAGAAATTTATATTAAACATTTAACAAATTTATTTCTTTTATTATAAATATAAACTTTCTCCGTCAGCGCAGAAGCTACAAATTGTTTACTGTGTCGCGCAATAAAACTTTATTCCTCAATGGATATCGTTAGATCATCTCAATTGTATATGGTATATTGGTCTTACATATTATCTATGGCGTTGCAACCAAAAGCATATGGAGTCTACACCTACTTCGTTTCCTTCGATCCTTTAAAGGTCATCAAATAAGTCTTTTTTTATTATGTAAATTATATTTAATACTACCGTATCATCTTCTTTCTGTATATTATTTTTATTTTTGAATTTTGTTTTTATATACATAGATATAGTTTTTAACATCGTATTTTTTTGTTTTTGTTTAAATTGGTTGACTTCTAATTCATTCGCTTTGCTTTTTCTTCTCTAATGCTCTCTTATGGTCTTTGCAAGATTTTCGATTTGTTCCTTCGGCTCTTGCATGTCTTTCTCAAGGAAAAGCCACGTTTTACTTCCTGTACATTATATGTATTGTTGTCGTCAATCTTTTTGTTTGCTTTAACTAATTTAGTTACATGTAGTTTAAGTAATTATATTGAAATATATTTTTATTATATATGTATAGTATATCGTTATTGTCTATTCTTCTATATAACTTAATTGACGAAATTAATAAACTGAAATTTGTTATCTCTTATTGAATCCATAAATTGCATCTAACAGTAGGAGATAAGCAAATAAATTACAAATCGTATCAGGCCAGCTCAGACAAGCGCAGACAAATAGCCGGCTAGTTAAGCTATATATATACGTGTGTTGGTCCGTTTGTCAAAGTTTTTCGACAAAGAGAAGAAAACAAACAAAGCCAAAAAAAATCATCGGTAAGCTTCTAACTCCTCAAAATCAGTCAACTTTATCAAACAAGTATATATATCTGTCATAGCAATGATAGATACGACTACAACGAAGTTTGTTTTCGTTGAAGACTGGGCCGGGAAAAAGGGTGAAAACAGATTATTCAAGGGACGTACCGCTTGTGTGCGCATTCCAAAACACAAATGTTAAGTTTGTGAAAACTTTTTTAGCAAAATATCGTAAGACGTTATGATATTGACGTCCAATCAGCATACATTTGATTCAACGCCAAGCAAGCGTGGGAAAAGCAAAATCTCGTCTATGGTGGAATGGAGGGCAAAAGCTTGTGGATGAGGGGATGTGGAGGCTAGACTGCGGTTGTGAATAAATTGGAAACTAATTGCAAACAAATATTATTTAGTCTTTAAACATAAACGATTTCAGTTTGTGTTTCATGTGTATTTTTATATAAGTACATACATAGATACTTGTATGTATCTACTTATATTCTTAACAGGTTTTTTAACGCAATTTTAATGAATCAATGTCAATTTATGTAACCGCAACAAATGTTTAAACAAAATTTCAGCCCATGCATATGCGCTGATTAATGAAAAAAAATGCAAAAATAAATAATCAATATTTGAGCACACTGATTTTTATATTAATTATACAATTTGCATGCATTAATGTTAAACACATATGTATTTACATTTTTTCCTCAAGGATTTCTTTCTGCTGCCACTTACATTTACATGCTCATTAATTGCAGACCACGCTTCAATGCATTTATTGTTATCCGTATACCCTGTATCCAAAAATTAGCACACAGAGGGAGATACATATAATATAATAAATATAAATGTATATAAATTGAATCCCTGTATGCTGCTGATTTGGATCGAACATGCACACACACGCATAGACACGCATAGATGAAACCTTCATTAATTTTATTTGAAAACTTTAATTAAATATAATTTATATATTTTTAGTTTGTTTTGTTTTCTGAGTGGGTGCAGGGTATTCAGGAGTCTGACTTTCTCGATTCCATTGTTGTTTTGTTTTTTGTAGCTGCTGTCTGAGGCCTGGCCTGGTCTAGGCTGGCTGTTGGCATATTTAATTATGTTTTCATTAAAATGAGTCTGTTAGCAAATAATGTATAACATTAAATTTAATTTGCCACTTTTTGTTGTGCTTTTTTATTGATTGTTTTTTTTTTTTGTGTGTGTGTAAGTATGCCAGCGCTAACACAATTTCTAGGTAGAAAATTAAATTGCCATCTGAGCTGAGCTGCCCCCAAAGTTGACGGCCTAGGGGCACAGCCAACAAAGTGACAACACAGCCAACGTTGAACTTTCTTTGCTGTCATGACGGCCCAAAAGAAGATGGCGATGGGATGAAGTCGTAGGCGAAGACGAAGACGGAGACTGCGACTTCTTGACAGCGACTACTTTTTGACATTTATTAAGCTGCTTGTGTGGGCTGTTGCTGCTGCTTTTCCTGTTCATGCCGCTGCTTGCAGGCTGGGCTTGTTGTTATAAAATGCAGGGGGCCGGGCAAAAAGTGCTGCACACTTCCTGAATTATGAGTGGCAACAACAGCAGCCCAGTAGCGAGAACCGCTGTATGAAGAAGGCTGATTCGAAATGCAGGCAATGACTCCTCCAGTCTGCTCCCTTCTCATCCTCATCCTGCCGGCTGACGTCCTTGCTGACTCTCTGACTGCTGCTACTGCCTGACTTCGCTCTCACGGCACCAGGAAATATTTTCGTTGTTGCTCGCACTGCAAAATAAATGTTTATTTCATGTTTTAAAGTCACAGCACGTTTGCCGTCACTGCCACAACGCGAGTGTCTGTATGTATGTGTGTGTGTGTGTGTGTGTGTGTGTGCCTGCAGTGCCTTAAAAATGTTTCACTCACTTTACACCCGACACACTCAAGTGCGCTTAATCTTATTTATTTATTGTGCAAGCTACCTGCCATACATACCTGTGCTCCCACACCATGCTTTCTTCATTTATGCAGTTGTTGCTCGCATAAGCAAATACAACTTAAAATGCAGTCACAATACAAACACACACACACACACACATACACGCACCTGTACCTACACCTAGAGAAAATCGCAATTTAAATCAAATGTACCTAAAACAAAACTTCCCATTACACATTGCTTCCTTTCTTTCAGATAATCGTACCTTATTAATTTTTGGTTGATATAATACAAGTATATTCCATTTATATTCCATATATTCCATTATTTCTGGTATGTTTTTTGTTGATGACATTTCTCTAGACTTCAAGTTTTTAATAACCTTTGTTAATGTTATGTTATGTCGACTTAATAAATAAATTAGAAATCAAATTAAAGTTTTTTAAATTATTTGGCGGCTCAACCTCAGGTGAATCAAAACGTAGAACTATTGCCAAATATTTAATCCTAATATTTAATTTAGTTTTGCCAAAAGCATTCTAAACACAGTGGTTTTATGCGATGCAAACAGCGTTGTTGGCTCTTAAGTATTAAAGTATTTTACATGTTCTGAGCCAGTTGTTCAATTTGAAATTTAATAATTTTTTTGCCTTTTAATTTGAAGGATAAGACTCCATTTTGAAGAAAAACTAATGTTGAACAGAAATTCATGTAGATTGATTAAATTTTTATTGCACTGCAACAATTTTGAATATATTAAAACAAGAAAGGAATGCTAAAGTCGAGCAGGCTCAACTCTTAAATACCCTGTACCACCCCACAAAAAGAAATTAAATTAATTAATTCATTAAATTTAATTAATTAACTAAATTAATTTAATTAATTAACTAAATTAATTTAATTAATTAACTAAATTAATTAACTAAAATAATTTAATTAATTAACTAAATTAAGTTAATTAATTAACTAAAATAATTCAATTAATTAACTAAATTAATTAACTAAATTAAATATAAAATATTTCATACATGTATACATACATTTACATCAGAATCGTGCCTATGCGTGTTTGTGTACTTGTACATATGTATGTATGTATGTGTACATTGGGCCTGGTTATATGCCTATAACTTTCTTTCCGATCAACCTATCATAATGAAACTTGGTATACGGATATATAATCACTAATTTAATGTGACTAGTTAAAAATTCCAAGAATTACGGTAGTTATAGAAAATCGTTAATAGGGGGGGAGTTGGGGGGTGGATCAGAAAAAATGAACAAACTCGTCCTTTCTCGGGCTCAGGAGAATCTGTATACCGAGTTTGGTTATTCTAGCTCTTATACTTTCTGAGATCCTTGCGTTCATACAGACATACGGACATGCTATATCGACTCGGCTTGTCATGCTGATCAAGAATATATACTTTGTGGGGTCTACCACGCCTCCTTCTGTGTGTTCCATGTACACTCGCACAAAACTAATATACCCTTGTACCGTTTGGGTACAGGGTCTACAAATTCCTAAATGTTTGAAGAACATTCTATAATTTCTAGAAACGCTACAAATACTTTCGGCATATCCCAGAAATCCCAGTTAATTACATACAAAGAAAGAGGTTGAGTTCCGGAAGAATCAAAATCGAATTAACTTTCTCAGATAGATAGATAGAAATATTAGAGGCTGGTGGTGGCGGAGTTGTTTCTCAGAATAGATACCGATTTTAGACGAGGACCAGCATGTGAGGAAAACAATGAAAAAGAACAACTAAAACATGTGACAAGCACAAATAAATCGTGTACTTCGCCAGCCTGCTCAATCAATTCATAAACTTATACAATAAATATAACATACAAAATTAATTAATAAAACAATGGCAAATAAACCACAAAATTGCATGTTTGATTTTAATATAGCAGATTGAAATACGAAAGAAACTTAAGATTAATAAACACACAACATTATAATTATTTATTATTTATAATAATTTTGTCCATGTTGAAAAGACTGAGCACCTTTTTGTCCACATTTTTTCCAGCTGACTTCAACTGCTTTAGTTTATCCAACACATGAGCAGCGGCATAGTAGTAGTCTTTAAGAACACTTGGTGTCATATTCCTAAAGATATTAAGCTTTGGTTGCAAGAATGTCTTTAGTTCGCCAGACTTCAAATGTTCCACCAACTTCTCCCAAAGTCCTATGAAAACATCACCAAAATCCTGTTTCCAATTGATGTTGGAAATTTCTAATAGAACGACCATTTCAATCATGTAATTGGATAAATCTTGCATATTATAAACATAACGCAGTTCCTGCATTAGCCGCGTAATCTTCGGGATATTGTTTTCCGAACGCCGCAGATCCTCCTGCCATTTAGCTGATGTGCGGATCAAAAATATGCGATCATCGTTAAGCATGATCGGCAGTGGTATGGCGTTCATTAACCCCGATTGAGGCAGTAACCAGGGATTGTATTCGAATTCCAGCATTGGCATATACTTCATGGTTATAGTTTTTAGCTCTTGTTTTTCTTGTGCTCTAAAGGAACAGTTCAGGCTGTATAGGCACTTTCTATCTTCTGGTTCGTACGTTGAAGAGAAAAAAATACCAAACTCTTGTCGGAACATCCATTGGCTGCGATCAATTTCACATTTCAGCCAATCGTGCATGGCTTTTCGATGGAGGTACCCATCTATTAAAGCGTCATGGCAGACATCTCCAGCATGCAACATAACGAGGCCCGGATGGGCAGAGTTGAACATCGGTTTCAGCTCAAAAGGAAATTTGATGCCCAAATAAAAGTCGAATTGTTTGCATAGCGTATTAGTAAGGTCTATAATTTAACATAAAGCATTTGCATATACTTATGTATATTTGTATGTATGTACATACATATATATGTACACATTTATGTAGGTTTACGTACCACGAAATATGCACTTAGTGTCACCATCAAGCGAATTTAGTTTTTTTATGAACGCAACTCTAGAATTAAGTTTTTCTTGGTGGCGCTTTAACTGAAAACTCTTTCGATCCTGTTTCTCCCACAACGCAAGCATTGCGTCCAGGCTTGGGGTAAGCGACATATTTCAGATTTATCTTCTCCCCAGTTTTACAAAATTAACGATAGTGATGTGCGAAAACTTTCGATATGACGCTTTTGTGCACTCCTATCGATTTTGTGAGGCAATCAATAATAAACATGAACTTGTACAATACTGAGAGTATCACAGTTTGGCCGATGCTGTGATAACAGTCAGCTTTTAGCACACTTTTAATAACGGTTGTTCGCTTTAGGTAAGAAGAAGAGTGTGATGTCTTTGATTATAGTAAATACACGGTATCGATACTACATTGCGGCTTTTGATGAAAGTTTTAGTTTTAGCTGAAAAAGTAATTGATATTGGCTAATTGGTTTTTGTTGTTTCGATTTTCATAAAATTAAAATCGAATAATCGCTTACAAACCTCACAAGAAATTACATTTTATTGTAATTCCACCAATTGTAAATAAATAGTGTAATAGTCAAGGGCGTAGGCAGCTTTTACCAAAGGGGGAGGGGGACCAAAAAATTAAAATTTTGATTAAATAATGCACGATGCATTTAAAAAATAACTTATGCATATGATCAATGAAAAAACTTCAACAAATCCAACTCAGCTCCATTTTAAGGCGAAATAATGTGTCATAATAATGAACGTGTGGTCGACTTTATATAGCAACATTTTTTTTTTTTTGGAGTAACGGACAAGACTCTATTACCTTTGCGAATTTAAAGATATTTAAAATCAATCGCATACCTCTTCATGCTTTGCGCACTGGGTTGATGATTTAATTATGAAAACTCTTTGACACTTCACATTTACTTTAAGTCTCTCTTGAGAGTAAGACACATTTTATACTCCGAGTGTATACATACATACTTGTACATACATAGTATGTACATAAATAAATTGTAAATGAATGCAAACAGTGTAAGTCGATGCCGCCAATGTTGCATTAAATGCAAAATGCTTTAAAGCGCGCACTCACAGCTGAGAGCCCCAATATCCAAAAGTACGATGTACGAGTATGTGTGTACTAGCCAAATAAATGGCAGTTGAGTAAACTTTCGAGCACTCGAGCTGTACGAACTCTGGCATTTGCATTTCGTGGCTGAGACGTTTCCGATGTTCCAAAAAATGGGGTGCAACAGTTTAAAAAACTTGCAGGCAATCAAAGTGTTAACAGGCGGAGCCATAAAACTTTGGCACAAGGAAACTTTTTGGCCATGCCCACACATACCATATGTACATACATACTTGTGTGTATATGCACTTATGCCTGTGTGGGTTTGCATCTGAAATACGAGTAACGTCGTCCTTGATATTGCCGTCGAACATTTTAATGAGTTTTGCAGCTGGCAAATTGTTGCATGACATTAACACCTTAAATACCAAAGGCAGCACCAACAACAGCTTCTATGTCATCATCATTAGATCACAAACATATATACCGCTTTTATTCAATGTCTCTCATACACAGACACACACAGACACATACAGACACACACACGCACACTTGTTGCATTCGCATGCAAATTTTATATCGCACCCAACGTGAAACCCAATTTGCCGCACAACCCCTTTGGGAGTCGTTGGTTCGTTTGTTCGTTTGTTCGGTGGTTTGTTCATAGTACTCGTATGTTGAAGTGCTTAAGCCCCAGTTTTGCCAGCGATGCCATCGATTTTCACAGACTACTGCAATTTATTGCTTACCGGTTGTCTGTTTGAGTTTGCGCTTTAACTTTTGCTTCTCATCGGATTTGCATATGCTGCCGATAAATGTTGCAAAATTTAAGCCAATGTTAGCATTAATTTTCGTACACGCCCCGAAACCAGACTACAAATTGCCAAAATCAGAGCATAGAGATGTGTTTAAAATGCAATTTGTGCTCACGACCAGCTGCCTTCTACTAATATGATTACTTAAATACTTAGAGGTATTTAGTGAAGTGAACGGTGAAATATTTTAATACGGATATACTATTCTGTTTGAATAGATTTCAATAAATTGGTAGCAGTAAGTAGCTTCATTATCTTTCATCACTTTTTTTTCATTTATTTCAAACAAAATAACTTCCTTTCACTATAATTCATCAACACCCGGTCTAAACTATAAGAGCTAGAGTGCGATTAAGCAGCTATGACATTGAGCTAATAGAATACTTGTATATACTTAACTGTTTTACCTTTTAATATCAACTTGAGTTATAATACAACAAATGCTCTCGAAATAGATGTTTAGTGCTACAAACAGATTTGTTAAAATTTTGATTGTCTATTTCATATAACCAGAAGAGTTTTTGATATTCATTTAAGTGGGAAGTCATTTTGAATCCAACGTGATTTCACACCATCTTAAAGCTGACGTCAAACTGGAATATAAATTCCATGAAAATAAATTCCACTTTAAAATTATAAGTATATGTTATACAAAAACGTTGCTTTTTCTTCCATAACTCTATTTTTGATTGATTCTTATGGCATATTGTCTAAAGGTAAGTTCATTCCATGTCCACGAGCTCCTCCTTGAATTGAGTGCAATTCATGATCATATTTTCGTAAATTCTAACTTTTTCAACCAATTAGTGAAGAGATTCCCCATTAATAAACTTACCAAAATAAATAATTAAATTTAATATTTTTTTTTTAAAATGTGTTGCTACAGTTTCGCAACTGTTCGCCAGTCCAATACTTTGTAGTTATTATGAAACTCACAATCACGTAAGACGGCCTTCTTTAACCAACTTGTACATACCACACATATACGCACACACACGCACTGCACACACACATATGTATGTATATCCACTTTCGATGAATGAATATTAGAGAGAACGGAAACGAACTTTGTTAAGCTGCTTTCGTGCTTAAGTTTTTGTCCTTCATTTGTTATTTTGCGTGTTTTACATGTGTTTATTTAACTGCGCGCCCATGCACGCACAATGACCCAAAGAAGGTTTATTTTGGCCAACCGGACACAGTGGGCCAGTGGACAGAAACCGAAATACAAATACAGATTTATATCGCAGGCTCCATTTGTTTGTTCAAACCGACCGCTCGTTTGCTTGATTTGAGGCCTGCGGCTAAATCATGTCTAGACAACAAAACACACCCACACACACACACACACACATGCTAGCTAGTTCAGTGCCTGCTGATGGGTCAGCAAAGTTGTAAAAAGTCTATAAGTTGATGAGGACTTGACCTAGAGCACTGATTTGTGTCGTCGGTGCTGCTAATGGCGGGCAATTAGCTCGGCCCAACTAAGTTATTTTGTCGCTAATGTAATGCACTTATCTAAATTAATTCGACACAGTTGTGTTTCAATTTAATTGAATTTAAGGTTTCGCAGTATGTACTACATATCTGAATTGAAATGCACACACAATGGATTTCAGTATTCCGTGCCTGCAGCAGCTGCGTGCGAAAATATGCGAATACATGCATACATATTTATGCGGCATATCAATTGTGAAATTGTTGCACACACATACAAAATTGAAGCTTTACGGAAGAATGATGACCATCCAGCAAAAAAGTTATTGATGACAAAAAACTTGCGTTATGATGGCATTCACCATTTTCGAGCAGCATTCCAGTTCGAAGTGACAGCTCCAAGACAAGTAATACGAGAACTTTTAAAGTTTAACTTTACTGACAGTGTTGCTATCGATTGCAGTTTTCTGTGATACAAGAAACATTATAAAGCAGCACTTTAGTTGACTGCTGAGGAATGTAGTGAAAATGGTTAACTGCACTTGTAAATGTCAGTTATCATCATATATAACTTTCTATTTTTTGCTTTCAATTTAAAGTTGCTTTTTAAAGCGGAAGCCAAGCCATTTAAATCACTTGAAGATAAAGAGAAATTTATTAGTATTATTTAAAAATATTTGAAATATAATTATAATTATAAGAAATGTAATTTCTCTGTTATATAGATGGATAACAACTATTGGAACTGATTCATCAACAACAAACAACAAAATATTCCAATACCAATTAAGCTAAATATAGGTTGACAAAATTATAAGTTAATCTAAGTAATTCCGGACAAGAAGGGCAAAAATAAAATACAATATTAGAGTCAAACTCGACATTTTTTATTCCAATTATAGAACTTTCGATAAATAATTTTAAACTCAAACCGATAACGAACATTGCCAGAAGAACGATCTGTTAGAAGTTACTTATACCAAGTATAACAATAATTTTTAAAATAAGCTTTTCAATCTTTTTTGATTACAGATTGATTTAATCAAGCTTTTATTTATATTTTTGCTTATTATTTTTGCTCTGTATATTTAATATGGAATATGCTGTGATCAACAAAGAAAATGGCATTAATAATTTTAAAGTGTTTGTGTTTAACACTCAGGAATTGATTAGTCAAATTTAATATATTGCTAAACCTTAAGTGGACTAAACGTTCTTCAAATCAGAATTTTCTTTAAATTAAAAATAATATAGTTTTTTAATAATATCAAAATCCATTTGGTTTGGGAAAACAATTATTCTGAATTAAATTATACATTTCTATACAGAATCTTAAGTCTTTTTAATTTAAAACGTGCAGTTACTCAACGAAACCTTACTTCTACTTTAATAAAAACCCAGTAAGCAACTGGTTTTAAATAAGTGCGGAAAAGCATGAAAAACTACAAAACTAGCTTTCCTTGCCACCGCAGGCTCTCATACATAAATATACATAGTACATCAACAAAAATGCAACTATCGGAGCTCAAAAGCAAAGTGGAATGTGCGAAGTGCATGGTCAGCGACTGAATTGCAACACTTTTTAAAATTGTTAAAATTAAAAATTAAATATTGAAATGCATGCCAGGCATTTTTTGTTTGGAAACTCTCATGATAAAAAATGTAAGCTTGAATAGCTTTGTAAAAAGAAACCCAAATGCATATGCATATTGCACTTTGTGTGTACAGTTTTTTCCTCTTTGTCGAGCCGCCATTGCATTTCAAAATTTAATGCGACACCACAGCGTTGGCGTAAAATTTTCCGCAGTTTTTCTTTTACATTTCTC